AAAAAAAAATGATCATATATTTTGCTAGCCCTTACCACAATGGCTGCTGAAACGTCCTGAAAGCTAAAATCCAATGGTTTGACTCTGAGCGACATAACTTATCATTATCGATAATCTTGGTAAACTGGTGGATGGTCGTGCCAGTAGAGCTGTTCTGCTCCCAAACTGTTTTAATCCCCAGTTGATCATCACTATCAAAGGGCTTTCATTTTGCTAATCGGAGCTCCGTGTGCTATGGAAGAAGTCGTGACTTTTAATTATTAGACGCCCAAGCATTTTGAGATAACGAGTTATACAAATCCCATCTAAAAATATTTTCTTCAAAAAGAAATTTAAAAGAGAAAGAAGCAAATGCTCCCTGACTGAAACTAAAATTTAGCAAAATATCATTAGCACTGAATGCTGGTGACCTGTGGACCGGTGGCATGGAGACAACAGTGACAACACTGCGCTGGGCCATCATCTATTTGATTCACAATCCAGACGTTCAAAAGCTTGTTCACGAGGACATCGATCGAGTATCGCTTGATTATTACACATAATTAAGCTTTCATTCTCATAAGCAGTAATAATCTTCGTGTGCTTTGTGCATTCATGTTGATGGGAAGATATAATTATATGGGCATCTGAGACTCGAAAAAGATTCCGAGAATTGGGGCTCTGTGATTTTTACAGTGCCTGGGATCGATGTTTCAGTGCAAAAATTGCTATTCTTTCATGCGTTTTCGTACACTTGTACATGAGCTCTCTCTGGATGTGTGTGTTTATGTGTGCGGATGTGCGTGTGTGGGTTAGCATTTTGTCATTCAGTTTCAACTCTGCAGCCAAAGAACTTAATAAGCTGAAACTTTCAATTCATGTTTCCACTTCATGTGTGACTTTCCCATTTTAGTCTATCATTTGTGCGCGCTTGAGACTTACGTACGAATGCGTAAAATAATACATGCAAACTTTTTGGCGGGAGAACGATTTCGAGGACTAGACAAAATAGGGAGCTGGAATTTGACAAGAATTTTCTATTTCATTGTGTGAAGTGAAAGTTTCAAATTTAGTTTTAAAGCACTTTTACACATGAACACATCAAAGTGTCTCAAATTCAACTTTAGCAAAATATCAGTCGTTAATTAATCTGGCTTTCTAACTTTATTGGAAAAAAGTGTAAAACTGGCTTCGGTATTTACCTATGTCTCGTTTTTGGAATAATCAAAGATATTTGTGATGAAAAGCGATTCCGCCAACTAGTCATACTAGAGAGCTGAGACTTTATAACAATACTTTATCCCAATGTGCAATCAAAACACTTAAAATTCAGCTTTTAAACACTCTTAAATCCCACGAGCGCGCAAGTGAATGTTTAATTTAGAAAAACATCATATTAACTTGGTAACCAGACTGGGCAGGAAGCAGTATTTTTCTGAGCTAACATTTTTT